GTGGGCCGCCTGGGCCTCGTGGACTACGACGTCGTGGAAATGAGCAACCTGGCCCGCCAAGTGCTGCATGGCGAGACGCTCGCCGGCCAGGCCAAGGCCTTCTCGGCCGCCGCCGCGCTGCGCGGCCTCAACTCGGCGGTGGAGTGCGTGCCCTACGCCCAGGCGCTCACGCCCACCACGGCGCTGGACCTGGTCCGCCGCTACGACGTGGTGGCCGACTGCTCGGACAACGTGCCCACGCGCTACCTGGTCAACGACGCGTGTGTGCTGGCGGGCCGGCCCCTCGTGTCGGCCAGCGCGCTGCGCTTCGAGGGCCAGGTCACAGTCTACCACTATGACGGTGGGCCGTGCTATCGCTGCGTGTTCCCCCGGCCGCCCCCAGCGGAGACCGTAACCAACTGTGCGGATGGCGGGGTGCTGGGGGTGGTGACCGGGGTCCTGGGTTGCCTGCAGGCGCTGGAAGTATTGAAGATCGCTGCAGGCCTGGGCCCCTCCTACAGTGGCAGCTTGCTGCTCTTCGATGCCCTGAGGGGCCATTTCCGCTCTATTCGGCTGCGCAACCGCAGGCCTGACTGTGCCGCTTGCGGGGAACAGCCCACGGTGACTGACCTGCAGGACTACGAGGCCTTCTGCGGCTCCTCGGCCACCGATAAGTGCCGCCCCCTGCAGTTACTGCGTCCAGAGGAGCGAGTGTCCGTCACTGACTATAAGCGACTCCTGGATTCTGGGTCTCCCCACGTGCTGCTGGACGTCAGACCTCAAGTGGAAGTGGACATCTGTCATTTGCCTCATGCCTTGCACATCCCTTTGAAACATTTGGAACGGAGGGATGCGGAGAGCCTGAAAGTCTTAGGAGAAACACTCCGGGAAGGAAAGCAGGGCTTGCAGGAAGGGGCAGCGCTCCCCATTTATGTGATTTGCAAACTGGGCAATGACTCCCAGAAAGCCGTGAAGGTCCTGCAGTCCTTGGCAGCAGCCCAAGAGTTAGACTGCCTCACAGTTCAGGACGTTGTGGGGGGCCTCATGGCCTGGGCTGTCAAAGTGGATGGGTCATTTCCACAGTACTGAGGTGACATATGCCCTGAGAGTGATGTGGATTGAATGCGCGTTACCCTAAAGATAACATTGTTTTCCTTCCCGGCTGTAATGTGCCCGAGTGCCCGGGAGTCTGCAGTACCTGTGAGCCGCAGACTCTTGGACGCTTGGACTTCTGCGTGGTCATTTATTGTATGGCTTAGTTATTAACCACCCATTGGCCGTTAGTTAATGCACTGTTTCTGAGCCTTTCGGCTGTTGGAAGGTGTCTTGAAAAGTGGATGCAGTTTGTAAGTGGCAGGATTTTGTGTTTTGAACTGCAGACGATTTGCCTGTCCTGCCCCCCTCTCCCCTCTCCCCCAACCACAAACTATATTCTCGGCCTGAAAAGGTGTAATAAACTTAGTGTTACTGGGTCAGTCACAGATGAGACACTGAAGGTTAGTTATTGTTTACCAGGATATTTTGGGGGTCCTATTTCTAGTACAAGTGGTAGAATGTGTCCTTCTGAAATCAGTGTTTAAAATTAAGTTGTTTAGTTATCTGAAAAGTAGTCATTCTACTAAATATTTTGGATTATGTCCAAGAGAGATATTTAGTTTAGCAAAGGAAACCACCTTTAGTCTGTCCTTTCTCTTAAAAATTGTTGGTTTTTCAGTGTTTCCACACATGTAACATCGTCTAAATTGTATACTGTTTCAACTTTGAAACTTCCAAATCTAAGCCCCAATCTTCCTCCTCCTCTTTGATGAAAACCACCCTGTGTCTGGATAATTGCACAATGGAAGGAGCTGGTACTTTGGAGAGAACAGACGGGTCCTGCACTTGGCTTGCTGACTAGTGGGGTCCCCTCTCATTCAGTGCTGAGTGTGGGGCTGCAGCCAAAAGCAGCTCTAGGATTTTGTTGACATCTGTATTTTGTGTTTTTCATTTGTATCGTATGTGTAGGTGAATCAGCTTAGGTGGTTAAAGCTCCAAAGAAACTTTTTTAAAAAGATTTATTTATTTATGCATATAGAACTGGGGTACAGGCCAGAGGTGCAGAGGCGGTGAGAGGAGTCACCAGAGACAATGAGGAGCAGAACAGTCCACTGCTGAGGGGAGCAGCGGGCGGGTCAGGAGAGGTCTGCCGGCCCTGTGGGTCACCTCCGGGGCGGGGATGGAACTCATGCTGAAGTGGCTTTAGCTTCTGAGTGCTGTGCTTTAACCCGCTGCGCCACCAGGGAGGGCCCCTTTTTTGCTCATTTTAATGTCATATAAATTTAATATCCTGTAAAGTGATTTAAAATGGCAATTGAATTTCAAGACTGAAATTGAAATGGTGGTTCTACATGCATTATCCTCTCTCTTTGGCCTTTCCTTGTGTTTTGGTGAATTAGCAATTGCATAATTTCTTAGGAAAATGCGCCTGCGTAATAGACAACCAGAGGGTGACGCAGAGGAGTGGTGAGGAAGTGAGGGCTGCCACACGATGTGTCGGGCATTTGCGCCCACAGTGGTTGAGGCTGGATCAGACCCATAAGTTAACCTCCAATAACAGCAGGAAAAAAGAGTAGTAAAATAAACAGATTTAAGTTTTAAAATAAAACTACTGAAAATAGTTGATTAGTGGTGATTCTCTGAAAAACATTTCTAGTTAAAACATTTATTTACAATTAAAAGCAAAAGTATATTCTCAAGACATCAGCACAAGCTGGACATTGTGATCCTGCATTTAGTTTGGAAAAATGTTTAGTCTTTAAGAAGCCATCATGCTCATGGTCAAATTCTGACAGCTTAAAAGTTACACACTAAATGCAAAGTAGTAATGTGGGTTTGACCCTGGAATAGAAAAGGCTGGAAAAACGGAACACCGAGTAAAATCTGTAGTGTAGTTGTCAGCAAGGCATCCATGCCAATCTCTTAGTTTTGACAAGTACACCGCGGATAAGGAAGATTTTCACACCGGGAGCAGCCTAGGGAGGGTGTACAGGACACTCTACTCTCTTTGCAACTTTATTTTTTAAAAAGCAATTTAAGAGCAAAACTCCAAAAGGTACCTACAGAAAATATACTTCCCCCACGCTAACACCCGTCCCTTCAGCTCACTCCCTGGAGATGGCGCCTGCAGCTCATTGCTCTTGCACGTACGTATGTGTCTGCACCCCGAGAAGCCACATGGCACTTACACCCTCTACACTTCCATTTTCACTCCCTGCTGCCCCAGCCCCAAACCCTGACTGCTGTGGCCTGTGGACTTCCCCAAGGGAGCTCACAGTTTGAGTTACGTTGTTCTTCCATCCTTTGCAATTGCCCAGATAATTCCCCTCATTTGAAAGTGGGACCAGCACTGGTGTGGTCCAGACAGGAGGGGGGCCCCATTCCAGCCTTAGCCAGGCAGAAGGCGCCACTCTGGAGTCCTGCCTGCTGGGCCTGTCCGCGGTGGGCCGAGGCAGCCTGCTCCCCTGTGACCCTGTGGCCTTGGCATGCGGGTGGCTGTGTCCTGTGGTTGCCCTGCACAGTGTGAGAGGGGCGAAGGGGCGAAGGATGCTTCCAACAGACCCACTTGTCGCCGTGTTAAGTCACTCAGCGAACATAGCTGCGTCTCAGTCTAATCGCCACTGTTTCTTGGGTTGCTCTGAGCTCTTTCCACAAATCACGAAAGCCACAGTCCAGGAAGGATGGGGAACATGGTCATGCTCACTGTCCACTCAAAGAAACCAGGGCCCTGATGGATGAGCTCATGTTCCAAGGGTCACAGTCAGGGCTGAAAGGAAAGGGGGGCCTGGTTCAGAACCAACACTGGTAACCCGCATCCCTGCCTCCAAAGATGGGTCCCAGCTGTCCTCAGCCTTTGTAACAGCTGCTGGTGTCCTGCACTCCATTGCCTTGGTGCTGATGGCTTCAACTGCTGAGCCTTTGAGGAGGACAAGGCAGGTGTCGGTGGATAAATCCCCCAAGCTTCTGACTCCTGGAGGGAGACCATTCTGGGCTGTGACCTTTGGTCTCCCAGGGGACCCCAGTGACACAGCTGTTCTCAGGGGCACCTTCCTGTTCATGCTTCTCCCCAGCCCTCTCCCGGAGCTTCCCAGATAGCCCAAATCCCCCCAGCCCTGAGCTGGAGGCCTCGTGGCACTCGGCAGTCCTTTTATTACTGATGAGTGTTCAGTGGGGTGGACTGGGTTGTTTGCTTAGTCAACTGTCCAGGAACATCCAGGGTGTTTCCCCTTTCCCGCTTGGGGCGATCCTAAAGAAAGCTGCTAGGAACCTAAGTAAGTCATCTCTATCCATTTTATTTTCACTTTTCAAGATAAAGTTCCTATAAAATGTTTCCTCCCGCCACTATTTAGTCTAAAATTTGGGTGTCTAGTTTAAGTAGGGAAACTCTAAATGGCCTTTTCTAGTGCTTAGACCAACTGTCCTGAGCTGCTCAGGCTACTGAGAGCAGCCCCCGGTGGGCTCAGAGTTTTGCATGGGAGGACAGACTAAATTGGCCAGTTAATGCAAAACGAAGGGCTGCCTTGAAGGGGTAGAACACAGAAGCTCAGCCATAAGATGCTTGCCTGGCCTGATTTGCCGACATCTGGAGATCACAGCTCAGCCCAGCTGATGTGGCAGATGGAGGCTGGAGAAAGGCCCAGAGGCCACGCGGGGCACACTGGTGCTCGCCACGCCTGAGGAGATTGGAAGAATGTGCTGCGGGAGAAGAAAGGCTATTGAATGGGGCGGGTGACAGGTTACACCTCCTTCTGTTTCTTAGCCAGAGGCAGCCGCAGGGTCTTGATTCAGCTTCTCCCTGGCCTCCTTTGAACATTTTCTGGGCCCTTTCTTGGTGCCAGCCCTGGGGTGCCACAGTGAATGAGGTAGACACTCTGCTCCCAAAGCCCATGTTAGCGTGGGAGACAAGCACTAAACGTCGAGGTCCCCAATCTGAACCAGCCACACAATCTGCAGGACCTCTTGTTCAAAATCTATGAATGGGGGTGGAGCCGGGGTGGGGGTGGAGCACAGAGCATCCTACAGCTGAGCAATTTCCCCTGGCACCTGAGCACACTGCATTTTTGCAAGGGATTGCCTTGGCATTATCATGATCTTCATGGGCCCAAGGAATCCCAGCTCCACACGCTGCCCTCCCCCACCCCGCCTTGCTGTAGCCGCCCCTCTGAAAGGGGCACCCCCATCCTGCCCCATCCCTCATCCTCTGAAAGAGGCCGGACCTCGGGCTCATCCTTGCCTCCTCTCTTGCTCTTCTCTCCATGCCCCATCTGTCGTCGAATCCGGTTGGTTCTCCCTTCGAGTCACACCCAGAATCTGCCCAGTTCCTTCTGGCAACACCAGACACTGTCACTCCTAGCCCAAACCACAGCATCCCCGCGGCCTGGACCTCCTGTGGCAGCCGGGGAATCTGTGATCACCCAGCTGGTGTCCTGTCAGCTCCGAACCCTGCCTGGCTCCCACCTCCCTCAGAGTAAAAGCCAAACTACTCAGAGATCTGCCATCTGCCTTCCTCTCTTTTCCAGCCTGGTCTCCTCCAGCTCACTCTGACCCAGCCTCCCCGCCCCCAGCCCCCACAGATGCCTGCCTCAGGGCCCTTGCACAGGCCTTCCTTCCGCCCTGCCCAGATGTCTCTTTCTCAGGGGACTCACCCCTAACTTCTTAATTGAAATGATTAAAAAATGGAAAATGCAGGTCCTCCCTGATGGCGCAGTGGGTTAAAGCACAGCACTAAGGAGCTGAAGCCGCTTCCGCATGAGTTCAATCCCCGCCTGCCCCAGAGGGGATCCACATGGCGCGGCAGACCTCTCCTGACCCGCCCGCTGCTCCCCTCAGCAGTGTACTTCATCGATCTGCCTGTTCTGCTCCCCACTCTGTCTCTGGTGAAGCCTCTCGCCGTCCCTGAGCCTCTGGCCTGTACCCCAGTTCTATATGCACAAATAAATAAGTCTTTAAAAAAAAAAAAGGAAAATGCAGTTGCAGGGGGCACCTTCCTTGGGGGTCTCCTGCTTTGTCCCCCCCCTGCGTGTTACCCTCTGGCACCCTGTTTCCCGTCTGTCCCCTGCTGTCTCTGTCATCAGAACCCCAGCTCTGTGCGGGTGGAGACTTGTGCCTACTTTGTCCCCTGCTCTATCCTGCTGGCCAGGAACAAGGCAGGTGCTCAAGGAACATTGGTCACGTGACAGACCTCGGGCAGCCATCTTCTGTCTGAAGAAGGGTTTGGGATAACGGATGACCCGTTAGGAAACCTGCGTTTGAGTCTGAGTGAGGGGCCTGAGTGAGTGGCCCCGCAGCCTGTCCGCCTCCAGTATGGCGATGAGGGGCCAAGCAGCTCACTACTCCTCCCGCCAGAGCAAAGTGCCTTGGAGGCTGTATCCACACATTCTTTGAAAATGTCAGTGGTTATGAGTCATGGATGAAGGATCAAACCAAGCAGCTGGCCTGGGAGCCAACTCCATGACTAAATGTCCCCCATGTGATGTGAACAGTCAGCAATGACCCCCCGCCCCAGCAGAAGGAACAGCACTTTCACTGGGGCACCTGACCCACGCGGCCGTGGCCAGGCAGGACCAGGGCAGGAAGTGCAGGTCAGAGCGTGACCTTCGGGCATTTCTGTCTGGAGCGTGGCCCCAGTTCTCTGAGTTTCCCTGTGTATGGAATGTTCAGTCAGTGATGTTTGCTGATCATTGAGTTGGGCTGGAGATGCTGGGGTGGGGGGTGGCTGGCAAACACACAGCAGCTCAGAGCAGGCAAGAGAAAGCGCCCTTGGCCTAGGTCAGGGGGGACGAGAAGGGGAGCCCTGGCCTAGGTCCGGGGGGGAGCAGGGGCGGCGGGAGGGCTGGGGCCTGCGCCTTGGTGCGCAGTGTGAGGGCTGTCAGAGGCGGCATCCAGGTGGGGGCTGCAGCCAGTTGCCAGCCAGGGGCAGTTCTGGGCAGGGAGTCCAGCCAGGACAAAGGCTCCGAGGAGGGTCAGTGCTTTTGAGGCCAGAGGCCAGTGTGGCTGGAGTGGGATGAGGGAAGGGGAGGGGCAGGACAAGGTCGGGGCAGCGGGCTTGTGGCCTGCTGAGA